TGCTCCCCCCCCCCCGCGCCCCAGCAGACCTCAGTTCCTACATGTTTTCCAACAGGCATACGTGTTCATATGTTATGAGGTCACAGGGCTTCTCCACTGTAGACTGAAGTCTGAATGGCCACTCACACACCTCCCAAAGACCAGAGGAATCCCACATGGGAGACCCCACCACCACCACCGCATGAACAAGGGGCATTTGATTTGTACTATCTCTGTTAATGTGCAACCTAACCCAGTTTGGCTCTTGGACAAATCCGTGTGCCCGGCTAGCTTCTTATCTCTCTACTTTTGCTTCTGCTGTTCCATCAGAAATAACCTTTCCTGCACTTCCTTGCCTCCCTTTGTCTTAACCCTCTTCCTCCCAGGTTCACTCTATATGCCTCCTGCTCCAAGGAGCTGACTCCTTTGACCCTCTCCCATGACTTTATCCATTCCTCTCTGAGGCTACTTACTGCATCTTCTTTGGTGCCTGCGTATTGCGTGTTTAACTCTGAGATCTGCTTCTGCAGCCTCACTGACTATTAGCCTCATCATGTACACCCAACAGGGCCAGGACCCCCCGGGGAGTCAGGTCTGGTCCTGCCACCTCCTTGAACAATTTGTTGGACTTCTCTGGATGTCATTAACAGCCCTTTCTCAAGGAATAAGTCAATTAATGCAAATTCAGATGGTGCTTGAAGCGTGCCTGGTGTCTGTCAGTTATCATGCAGTCTCTGCTTGATGCTTTTTGACTTGCCCGTCCTGGTACCTGTTAGCTCTCATGCAGCCAATGCTTCATCCTGTTTGACTTGCTCATATATAAAACGGGGATGGAATTTTGTAAAGCAATCCATCTAGCGTGGTTCCTGCACATAGTGGGCACTCAGAAGACAAGGACCACAAGTAAGTAAATGTCAGTATGACTCAGTGATCTCTTTTCCCCTGAAGCTTTCTCCTCGGGGATGGACAGGTTGTGAGGAAACCAGCACTGTGATCTAATTGCCTTGTTAGTGCCAATGAGCTCTGGACCCAACCTGACTCTAGGTGTCTCCCTCTGGACTCAGTGTCTGGAAGTGTGGCTTCCCAACCCTGGAAAGCTGGAGGAGGCTGGGAGCTGCTGCTTGTGCAGTGGGCTAGAGGGCCGACTGAGCTTAGCACAGGTCTCCAGATACAGTCAGGTCAGGCCAGGCCCAGGAGGGAGATGCCAGGTCTCCTACAATACAAGCCAACACTTTTAAAACGGGGCTGGGCATTTCCACTGTGAAAGCCAGAGTTCTGGCAAGATCCTGGATTCGGTGAGAAAATGCTAAAAATAATCATCATAATCCTGGCCTTCCGTGCTACGGTGTGTGATCCTAGTGGGTCTCAGAGCTACCCTGGGGGAATGCACCATTGATGATTGATCATCTAGCCCACTTGACCAGCGAGGGGATGATGGCTCAGCAAGGTGTCTGCATCGGATGGCCACCCAGATCAATCAGCCTGGACTTCAAAGCCTGTGCTCCAC